TGTCTTTTCCTCGCCGTTTCAATACTTTGGAGTAACATGGAAGCTAATCCTCAGCTGGTAAGTAGTCAATCTCTTCGGAGATCAAAACAACCTCTTCGGAGATCAAAACAACCTCTTCGGAGGGCAAATAAACCTCTTCGGAGGGCAAAACAGTCTCTTCGGAGATTAAAACGATCTCTTCGGAGATCAAAACAGTCTCTTCGGAGATCAAAACAATCTCTTCGGAGATCCGAACAAGCTTCTCTCAAACAAATATTAATACCGAAATCTGTTATAATTCACTACCGGGAAAATATACATAACATTGTACATTTATATCCTACCCATGGCTATATTAATACATGTGAGTGTATCAGTTCATTTCACTGTGTATGTAGATGCAGATGGACTGCACGTAAATTAATTAAAGCAAATGCCAAGCGATCTAGAGACCGTGCACCTTCCAGATTACCTTTACGGAGAATTATATTGGCTATGAGAAAGAGAAAAAATAGATTATTTTTAAAGCATTATTTTGTGAAAACTGTTCCTAGGTCATCTATTTTGAATAAGATAGTTAGTAATTTTAAGCAATGTTGTTTTCAGTTTGTGCACATGCAACATATTTTTATCAATTCATTTGGATGTTTTAAGCCATGTGCTCAGAGCTTAGTACACATTTCAGGTATCACTAATTATGACAATTTTGACAATAAACAATATCAGGTATCTCAAAGGAAACTAATGTTGTCAGGGGATATTGAAAGGATTTCTATTCTATCAAATTTAGTGTTAGAACAAAGGTTAAGATGCTTTCAGTTAAGACCATTTGATGTTGGTGGTGATGGTGACTGTTTCTTCCGAGCTGTCTCACATCAGTTATATGGTGACCCTGGGCAACACTTAGAAGTTAGAGCAGCTGGTATTGCATATTTGAGAGATAACCCTGAAAGATTCATTGAAAGTAATACTGAAAATTCTTGGTTAGAATACCTCAATAATATGTCTATGCAGGGGACATGGGGTGATGCTATGATTATACAAGCTGTAGCAGACCAGCTTAAGTTAAAAATTATTATTGCTGAGACACATGAAGGATTTAGTGAATACAGTATAATACAACCAGTTTCATCAAGATGTCAATTAACGAATGTCTATTTGGGTCATATAAATGAGTACCATTGGCCATGTACTTCAATCCAAGGTGCCTGCCATAATGAATTACTTACAAGTAGAATTTTTGAGATACGTTCTAAGCAGCTAACTGAAAGCTCCCAGGCTAAGCAAGTGAGAACAGAATATACTAAAGCCTACATGAAAAGAAAGCGAGCTAACGAAACACATGACCCTGAGGCTAAGGAAAAGAAAAGACAATATATGAGAGATTATAGGAAACATAAACAAATCAGTGAGCGTCTCCTGCCCTCAACAAAGAGTCTTAAGGCTAAGCAAAAGAAAAGACTGTATGCAAAGGAATACAGGAAACAAAAACAATCCCGTGAGAGTTCCCAGCCCTCAACACAGAGTGATGAGGCTAAGCAAAAGAAGAGACTGTATGCAAAGGAGTATAGGAGACAAAAACGTGAGTTTCAATCACTACAAAGTTTGATATCAGAATTTCATGATATTGTCTCACAAGGTCCTGTTTATATTTGCACATGTTGTGACCAATTATGGTATAAGCATAGTGTCATTCCAGCTGCAACTCTTAAAGAAAATAATCCTGATGTTCAAAAAAGATTATTAAATAAAAAGAGTGTTAATAATATGGAGTGGTTGTGTCAAACATGTGCCAAGCACTTAAAAAACAATAAGGTGCCACCTTGTGCTGCCATAAATGGGATGCAATTTCCAGAAAAGCCTTCATTTTTCAATCTAAATGAGTTAGAGTGTAGATTGCTTGCTCCAAGACTCGCATTTCAAAAAATAATGCAGGCTCCTAGAGGCAGACAACTAAAAATCAATGGAAATATTGTTAATGTCCCAGCAGATGTTGCTAACACTGTTAACATGTTGCCAAGGTTTCCAAATGAAACCAGCACAATTAAAGTTAACCTTAAGAGAAGATTGCAGTATAAAAGTTCGGCTTTGTCACTCAATATAAGACCGAAGAAAGTAGCAGAAGCTGCAAAATGGCTTGTATCTAATGGCAACCTTTATAAAGATGAAGGTATAACTTTCAGTGACACTTGGCTTCAAAATCATTCAAATACTTTTGTATTTGATGAAAGTGATGATGATCAAATCTTAAAGGGTTCAGAAAATGTTGAGGACTGTAATGCAGAGAGCTTGAATTGTGGTGCAGACTGTAAGACCCAACAAACATTAGCATGTGATGATGATGAAAACTGGAGTGAAGATGAGGCAGAAATACCTGCTGGTGTCACTGACACTATGTTAACATCTCCAGATTTTGTCACTGATAATGAACGTCAGCATATCTTGAATGTTGCACCTGGTGAAGGTAATAAACCTATGAGTATATTCAGGGATAAATATTCAGAAGAATTAGCATATCCTGGTATATTTCTTGGACAAAAACGACCAGACAATACAAATAGGATAACTGATGTCCATTATAGTGATATTTGCAAATCTGAGTTAAGGCGGTCTGACCGAAGGGCTGCAATGTGTGTCGAAAATATTTTCTTTAAAACAAAGAAATTGCAAATGAAGATTTTGCTTGGGCAATCACAAGTTGCATTAAGAAAATGTAGACAAAATAGTAGGACAATTACTGCTGGTCAACTAAAACAACCAGGTGCAATCAGTAACATAATTCACCATGATCAAGGTTTTAAATTTCTAAGAGCTCTGAGGGGTTCACCTCCATATTTTGAAAAAGCCAAAAAGGATATATTTGCAATGATAAGGCAGTTAGGATCTAATAATTTTCTTGTATGATTGCATGGCGACTTTAGTAATTATAATAACTTGTAGGTACACCACGTAAGTATTAAATACTGCAAAGCTTTCGGTCCGTTAACCCGGACCTTCATCAGTGCAATTACTTGCAGTTAGGATCTGCTTCATTATTCTGTAGCTTCTCTTCTGCAGAAACACAATGGATTCATTTACTAAGAATACTTGGTAATCTTGTTGATAACAAAGAATATACTGACAATGAACTTGAGAACCTCAACTGGGAGGAGAAAAGCAGGTTAATTCAGAGTGATCCAGTGACATGTGCTAGGCATTTTGATTATCAAATACAAAAGTTTCTACAAAAGTTCCTTTTAAGTAAAGTTGCACCTCTAGGAAAAATTTCAGACTGGTTTTACAGAGTTGAATATCAACAAAGGGGATCACCTCATATTCATATGTTAATATGGCTAGAAAATGCTCCTAAATTTGAGGTGGATTTTGACCATGATGTTGTCTCATTTATTGATAAAATAATCACATGTGAAAAGCCAACTGGGGATGAAGAGTTACTTACTCTTGTGAATAGGCAGGTTCATCGACAATCTCACACTTGTCGCAAGAAGTCCAAAAGTGTATGTCGTTTTAATTACCCGCAACCACCTATGCAGTCAACTAAAATTTTATATCCATTAGATGCTGATATGGATTGTAATGAACTTGAACAACATAAAAGTACTTGGAAGTTTATAAACATCTAAATGATCTGAAGGAGGGTGACAATATTTCATTGGACCAATTGATGGTAAATCTTAAATTAACAGAACAAAATTATTTGCTGGCTGTTCGATCCAGCCTGAAGGCTCCAACCATATTTTTGAAAAGAAAACCAAATGAATTAAGGATCAACAATTATAATGCTGCATGTCTGAGTGCCTGGCGTGCGAATATGGACATTCAATTTGTACTTGATGTATATGCATGTGCAATGTACATTGTATCATATATATCCAAAGCCCAAAAAGGCATGAGCGAGCTATTAAGAACTGCCTGTGAGGAAGCTAGAAGGGGAAACTCCAGTATCAAGCAACAAGTAAGAGATATTGGAAATAAATTTTTGAACAATGTTGAAATAAGTGCACAAGAAGCAGTATATATAGTATTGCAACTTCCAATGAGAAAATCTTCTCGTCAAGTTGTATTTATCAATACTGCACCTCCTGAGGATAGAGTTCAACTGCTAAAACCATTGCAAGAAATTAATGATTTGGAAGATGACTCAGATGAGGTTTATGCATCTGGTTTAATAAAACGCTACACAAAACGACCAGCTACACTTGACAATTTGTCACTTGCTGATTGGGCTGCATGGTATGACTCTTGTGGTAAGCCACATATCAAACCATCTCGTGAACTAGATATTGATACCTATCCAATTGAAACAAATTTGGATGATAATGACGATGATTATAATGAGGAAAATGAAATTAAACAAAAGAATAAAAAAAGGAGAAAAGCCAGAATTATTCGAAGTGTGTTTTTTAACAAGGATGTTGATGCTGAGAAACATTACCGTGAATTAATTATGTTATTCACATCGTGGAGAAATGAAACAGCAGACTTAATTAAAACTTGCTCATCCTACCAACAGCGCTATCTACAACTTAAAGATTCAATCGATGAGCAAATGAAACAGTACGCTATTTGTAGTGAAGATCTAAATGAGATCCAAGAACAGCTAAATAATATGGATGGTAATGATGATAACTATGATCTTATTGCTCCAGGAACACAAAACATTGAGCGTCAAGATGAAGACCAAGGTACACAGGACCTTCATCCAGAATTTAATGGCAACTATGACCTATCTGCTGATCTTGGAATTCCTGCAACTACATCAAATACTGAACAGCTAATATTACATGAAGAACAGGATGATGTTTACAGAGGAATGGTGCAAAAACTTAACAAAGAACAGAAGGAATTTTTTTATCATGTGTTGCATCTTATTAAAACTTCTGAGAATCCATTCTACTGTTTTCTCAGTGGAGGGGCCGGCTGGAGTTGGCAAATCTCATCTGACAAAGAGTCTTTATCAAGCTGCATTAAAATATTACAACACAAGAGCAGGCGATGATTTCCATCAAGTGAAAATATTAATGCTTGCACCAACTGGCAAAGCAGCATTTAACGTTAAAGGTAACACAATTCATAATGCACTTGCAATACCAGCATGTCAATCCTTGAAGAACTATAAACCACTTGATTCAAGCAGGCTAAACACTTTAAGATGTCAACTTGGTGGTTTAAAACTTATATTTTTAGATGAGATCTCCATGGTTGGTAGTACAATGTTTAATGTTCAAATAAATAACAGACTGAAAGATGTCAAAGGGTGTAGAGATGACTTTGGTGGTGTAAGCATAGTTGCAATTGGTGATCTATTTCAATTAGAACCTGTAATGGACAGGTATATATTTAAAGATCTAGACAGTTCAGAATATTCTATTCTTGCTCCTAATAAGTGGCATGAGTATTTTAATATGTTTGAACTTCAAGAAATAATGAGACAAATTGAAATATTAAACAGGCTGAGGGAAGGCAAACATACCAAGAATGATATTTTGAAACTAAAAGAAAGATTAATAAAAGCAAATAGCACACAGGAGCCTATGGATGTCCCTCATTTGTTCATACAAAACCAAAAGGTAAATGAATTCAATGACAAAGTACATAAAGAAGCAAGTGGCGAAAAGTTTTCCATTAAAGCGGTGGACAGTGTCATTGGAGCTAATTCCGTTCAACTTCGAGACAAAATTTTGAGTCAAATACCAGATGATCCAAGGAAAACAAAGCAAATTGCTTCAAACCTTCAACTTTCAGTTGGGGAGCGAACTGAGATTGCACTAAATGTCCGCACTGACGATGGCTTGACTAATGGTGCCAGTAATGTTGTTAAGAAGATACAACTAAATCAAAGAGATAAACCATCTGGAGTAATATGGGTAGAGTTCGGTCATTCAGATGTTGGTGAGAAAACCAGAAATGAAAATAGAAATCTTTTTGTTCAAGGTATTGAGTCAACATGGACTCCAATTAAACCAATTACTACTCAGTTCAATGTGGGCAGGAGCCAAACTGCACAAGTTGTAAGAAAGCAATTTCCACTGAGACCTGCTGCTGCTAAGACAATTCATCGTTCACAAGGTGACACTGAACAAAGAATTGTTGTCAATTGGAATACAAGAAGAACCATACCCCATATACAAAATGTCGGTTTAAGCAGCACTCTTTGACTTCAAGACCCTTTGGTGGTATGGCGGTTTTTAGCCGAGTTGAGTTCTTACCAGGATATCCACGTTGTCAAAATATTAATGGTATTGAGGTAACCATTATGAAAGTAATGATTCTTCCACATGTTACCATTATTGGTATTTACCGATCACCCAAAATTCCAGTGCAACAATTGATAGTAGCATTAACTGAGGTTTTGATGTTATGTACTTCCCAATTCAGCATTTTCATAGGTGACTTTAATGTAAACTGGTTGGACGAGGCAATTAGAAGGCCTTTATATAATTTTTTCATCAATGATAATAACTATAGACAATTGATAAACAGTATCACTACAGATAATCACAGTTTAATAGATCATATTTATACAAATTTACCAGAATCACAAGCTAAGTCGCACATATTGGAAACATATTTTTCCGATCACAAAGCAGTATGCGCATTAATTAATTGTTTTCATTGAAACAAAATAATATATACATAGTGATGCAGTAGTTGCTGAAACAGCAAATATTTGGCCTCAGATAGAATTACTAGATAGAATTACTTGTTGTAGCATTGGATCCAGTCATAATAGTATATAGTTATATAAACTATATAATTTTAATTTTACTATTCTTAGATTAGGGTTCTCTTGCCCCTTCCTCCACCTTAATATTAATATCTCTCTCTGAGTGCCAATAACAGGAACACCAGGTAAGCCATTTTATATATTTCCACTACCCTCCCTTATACTACAGTGTCTTACTACCATGCACTTACCACCAGTACTGATTAATTGCCGATTTCCCTCAGTTGCAACTTTAACATAAACTTTTTTTATAGATGAAAACAACGAACATAATTTATCTTTACTGGATAATGGCTGGATGAATTTGTTCAACTATACCTTACTTGCAGGACAACCAGAATTTCAACACTGACACTTCTTACAAATTCAGAAGATCAGCATGTGTGTTATATGCTACCTGCGATCTTATTAACGGCACTCAACGTTTACAAGACTGGATCTATTATAACTGCATATATTGGATTAGAAGACATCACAACATTCGTTCTGTACATTGATGTGCTATGCTCTGTTTCAACCTCGTTACCAAGATCCAGTGCTATTATGTCGATCTGACATGCTGCAGTGTATATGAGTGAAGTTCAACTCACTTCTTAATCCAGTAGACATCAACAGCAACCATGTCACATGCAGGCTTGGATTTTATTCATGGCATACGATGTGTATGGGGCTGTTCCTATTACTATATACCAGTCAGCTGGTATTCTAAGTCAATTATTTACATGGATCTGTCATGCCGTGTATAATTATATTCGAGAACTTCATACATGGATTATGATACTAATACATTTTCTTGGAATGAACAGTTCATTTGTCTTTGCAACAAAGACTATGGTTAAAAACAACAGCAAGCTTCATGTTGTTGAAGGCTTTATAAACTACTACTTAAAGTGTATTGGCAACATCCTGTATCCTGACAACAATTGCGAATGAGTTTATCATGGACTATGCAGAAGGTTCTGAACCTAACTCATTTGAAAAATGATAAATCTTTATGTTGTCCAATTAGTTTCTGCAAAAAGTTATATAACAGATTCTGGTCACAGCTTTAATTAGTTACTGCCTGTTCTGGTGTTCCTATCATGTCTTCCTCCCCATTTAATTATCTGTACATATATATCTTATCTACATGTAGTTCTCTATTAAAATTAAAATGATACTTTTGTCATCTCTCAAGTGATAAATTTAACCAAAGTAGAAAAATTAACATATCTTATATAAAAACTTTCTTCATTTGAAACAATAATGAACAAAACCTCAAGTGAAAGTTTCAGAAAAACAATTAATTCTATCATCAACCCAGACGAATACTTTATAAATCATTCAATTCTTGTTGCTTTGTAGTACCAAAATTACATGCTTATAGACATTTTGAACTATACTCTAGTTTTGCATATCTCAGTTTTCACCTTTCCATCGCATGTTCGATCTCACCATTCGCACTTCCGCCACTTCGCAGATACATGTACGCTTAGCGTACCTATTTTTAATAAATATTATAAATGTTAGTAGATCATAATATAACATCATTAACATCATTACATTTCTATTTCCAGAATTTAGATATAACACGACACAAGTTAATTTTTGATGGTCCTTTGACATGGAGGTTGAATCAAAGGAAGTACATCGGTAAGTGCATTAAATTTACCCCTGTCGACCCTGTTCATCTCATCATTTATGAAAAACTTTGTCTTTTTGTTATTGGATTTCTATTTTCCGTAGATCTACACGCGCTGTTATTAGAAGATCTACTGGTATTGCTTCAAAAACAAGATGATAAATATGTCCTGAAATGCCAGAGCATTAGTATGAGAGGTTATGAAGATGATAAAGTGAGTGACGAGGCGTGAAATATAATACTATTGCGACGCCGAGTCTGTTGAATGTAAAAGTTACATTTGTCTTAGATTGTATTATTCATTTTATTGATTTTATCGGTTACCATGTACTTAGGTAGATTTGTTAGTTGACTGTGACATTGTAAGGTACATTGCCATGCAAGTCTGTTATACTCCCGAGTAAAATAACCATTATAATGAGCCTGATACTGGACCTTTTTGGAAGTGCATCCCAAACTGATTTATACGGAGATCTGACCAATGCTCACATTTCTCAATACACTGATCTAAATACCCTGAAGACTACATTGCATCAAGTGATATTTATAGGGTTGTTGTTAAACTATGTTTTGTACTTAGACAACACAATGCCCTGTTTTGAAGCTCTCAACGGTACATACGAGAAACGTTGCCACAGGTATCACTTAATAACTGATGACATTATCAATTGAGTTCTTTCTTGCGATGAAACAATCGCTGTAATCTTTCTGAAAAACGTGTTGTATTATAATTTAGCAAAAGATGATACAGTTATAGATGAATATTTCTACTCATTACTTTGTTAGAAAACGTATCCTTTTTTTATATAACTCATTTACTTTTCTGTAGATGAAAAGGCTTTCTTTGTTGTTGGAATGTCCAACATTGACCTTCAGATTTACGAATTGGCTGCCGCAACAAATGTTGAACGAGAAGCGTAAGAACCTATTTTAAGACCAAAAGGGCTTTAACAGTGCCACGAGGGTATTTTTATTCTTCGCTTCATGTGGCCTGATTTCGTTCATTTCCTTAACCTAGGGACGAGTGAACCATAAATATCATAATTATATTCGGAACTACGCAATTGATATCCCTATTTGCTTTTATTTTTAGCACAAGTAAACTTCACTGCGGAAGGCATGAATCTTGAGTCCGTACAAAAACGGAGAACAGCTTCCGTTTTTGAAATGCTTTTTGTCAGTTCTATTTCGTGCAGACTATATCGGATTAAATGTGATTCACTTAGTAGAAATAAAACATTGTACATGTTCGCTGCCATTTTAAATCGTTGTTTATATCAGAGAGCTTCGCCCAGTCTAGCACATGCGCATAACGGACTTAACCTCTTCTCATGCATTTTATTATAATATGGTCAGGTTTTTGGTTATTCAAACATATAGCATTTACTCTTTAATTATATTGCACTGTTGTGAGAAATGCATCTCAAAGACAATCTCTAGTATAAAATAATATCTACCAAATGTTTAAAATCGTTACAAGCCAAAATAAATAGTAATTAATTTCTTTTTTTAGGTGGCTCAAATATATTACCGAAGCAATAGAGTTTTGCAAAGAAAAAGGTTAGTATTTGTTCGCATTTCTTCAAATTAAAATGATCGTAGTGAACCTCTTTTAGGTGCTCATTACCAGAGCCTTGCAAGATATTTCTATGAGTAACATTCGTTATATTATAATAAAATATTTTCACAAAATTCGACCTCTCACGATATGCTAATAAAACGAGATGGAGGATATAATTGGATATGAGGGGATATATCGACAACCTCACGAGTCTGACAATGATACAATAAATATCATATTTTAAAGTATTGATGCAATTTTTATACGTTAGCCTGCCATCGTTCTATTGGAGGAGATTCACTCACAAAATTTATGAAATGTTACTATTGTAAGGGTCGAGAAAAACCATGGATTATAATATATACTATTATAATAGACGATATATATCGATAATTACGTCACAGCATTACCGTTTTAAATTTAGAACCACCTAATTGAGATGGATTTTAAGTTATACTCTCACAAGTTATTTACAAAGATGCAAAACATTCTTCTTCAACACACGCATAAAAACGAATTTTTCATTTGTACAAACAAGTGTCAAAAAAGCAATAACACAAGAACGAGGCTGCCGGTCATCCCCTGGTAGCCTCGTTTTAGTGTTCCGACCTATTTTCAAAGTTCACATATTTTTATTTTAAATTTAGAGTTAAAAAAGCAGCAACACGATGAAATGGTAGAGAGTTGAGTAATTATTTTATATATATTAATTATTATATTTATATATTATATATTATATATATATATATATATATATATATATATATATATACACCCATTTGCAAAAACGTTGGCCGCAGATAGATAGATAGATAGATACTCGAAATCTAAGTAGAATTGCATATGTTGTGTAATATGATTGAAATCCCATGCAAATATAATCATATCCAATTCTACATAGACTTCGAGTATCTATCTATCTATCTATCTGCGGCCAACGTTTTTGCAAATGGGTGTATATATATATATATATATATATATATATATATATATATATATATATATATATATATATTTATGTCTGTCATCTTGCGCGAGTAATGTTTCTATTGTTTCCTCACATGTCGCCCCATGGATGTTGCATTTCCGCAGGTCGTTACTGGGCATTTTCCTTCGGTCTTAATTACGATTGAAAAAGCCAAACACGAGCTTGGGATATTTTGAGCTAGGGGTACCATTACCCCTAGCCATTTTATTAATAAAATGACGTAATATTCATAACTTTAACAGAACTGATTAACTATATAACTTTACATATGTATCACATTGTTTTGCTCAGTAAGGTGAGGGTAAAATTTACAATAACGCCCCCCCCCTCCTGGCGCCGAATACCTTCACAACCAGGTTCATGGATGCAGGCATGGGAAGGAGGTGGGATGTATGAAATTGTTTCAGAATAGTTTATGACTTGCTTCGCCAGCTGACTTTAAGCGAATAACTTGAAATGTTTATGTGTCTTATGACAGCACCCTGAAAATAATCTAATTGTTTCCATCTGTTAAATTATTGGCCTACAGCTAAAGTTTTATCTCTTCAGAGCAGATTTCCTCCACCCCTTTGGCAGAGTTGCCCATTATGATAAGGAAACAAGATGACAGACATAAAATTCCTATTCGCAGGCAAATATTATATATTATATATTATACGCTGGGGTTCAAAAGTCTGAGTAGTCAATATGATGTCGTATAGATATAATGACAGCACTGCATGTGCATACTCATATGAACTTTATGTTATAATATTATGGCGTATTGTGGAACTTAAGCCCGTGGGACTTTTTGGTCATTTTCGTTTCCGCCATTTTGAACTGCAGCGTAATCGGTACAGTAGTTTTAAATAGAATAAAGCCATTTTGTGTATGGTCTTTATAATTAAATCCATGATTATGATTACAACACATACAATCACGATATAGGATTTAAAACACACTGGCGGTGTTCTAATTATATTTGTATGACCTCTTTTACGGTTCAAAACATGCAGCTTTGAATTCTTCTGGCATAGAATGAACTAGTTTTGTTAATAATTCTATTCCACCATTGATTAAGGAAGATGCAGTGGTTTAACTTTTACTTTTTTTCCATCTTCCTCTGCAGGAGTAGCCCTTGGTCTAATAGATTTTCATTTAATTGAATACGAACCGGTACCTGATTGACAAAACGTTTCCAACTTTTCCTTTGTCACATAGCCCTATAACCTCACCTCAATTTTTCGAGACATTCAAACATTGTTCGCCCTCTCTTCGCTATTTTGGTCCACAAAAAGAATAATACGCATCTCTTATGCATTACTATCATAAAATACGTAAGTTCAGATCACAATATCCAATCTCCAACTCACAAGATATCATTTATTGTAAATCAAGAAAAATAATTATTGTTGACTGGACTCTGACTTTTGACCCCCACTGTATATTATTTCGATACCTGATATTCTCCATACAGTACATAATTGATAGTATACAAAACCCACATTTGGTGCAGTAATCAAATAATTGTGGTGGTATACAGTACTGATTATAAGTATATTGCTTTTCCATCGATTTACGCGTCGAAGCGTCCACATCATAGACATAATATGCAAATTCTGAATTCATAATTACAAATTCCAAGTACATCTAACAGTGAGAATGGACACCGCAAAAATTGGTCATAGACTTAGCCGCAATTCTCAATACTTAGACTTCAAACTTTATGAGAAAAAAGATTTATAAATATTCAAGAAAATATATCTATAGCACAAAAGATTTGAAGCTTCCACACAGTAAAAAAGAATCGTCTGAATTAATAATCTTGTGTATACTTAAAGCCCTTAATATGGCCATTTCACAGCTGTCAGATGTGTATGATGAGCTGTCAAAAGATTGCAGAATGCGTATTCAGAAGAAAAAACGAACCCTTTCGCGTTGGTTAAACAATCACGGTTGGAGCATGCAAATACTCTCTGCTGTGTCGCGTCCGGACCATGAAATTATACCTTTCTCAAACTGTCAAACAAACTCTGACTTCAGAGACCAGGTCATTGCTCGGAAATCCGGCAAAAATGCGACACATTATGCTGGTCATAACTATAGATTTGGCGCAGCTACAACAGCAGCTTCAGCTCAATTACCTTCGTGGCTAATTAAAACTCCTGGACATTGATCTTCCGACTGCTATGCACGCCACATCAAAATTCCACCCTGCACCCTGTCTGGGGTATCAGCCACCATGACAAATACGTTAACTAAGAACTTGTAGTTGCCGTAGGAAATTTTAGGGGGGGGAGTTCCTCATCAATGGCGAATACACATTTTGAATATTTGTGGGGATGAAGTCTCCTTTGAAAATTGAAATGTCCTCTGAAATTATAATTTAATAATGACACTATCGCGGCTAACGTAATTTGAGTAATTTCCTGTTTGATTTAAAGGGTAATGTTTAACCTAGTTCTTTATATTTTCACTGGCAGAATTCAAAACGTGACTCATTTATTTTGGGACAAACGTCTGGTTGCTTAGGTATTAGAGGGCATGGAAACTTTTCACTATCCTTGTATTCCTGGCTTAGTTTCTATTTATTTATAGGAAAACCATTCTCGACCAAACTCTACACAATTGTAAGTAGAATTCAATAATTTACGCAATTACGCTTTTGTTTGTTCAATCTCTAGTGTACAGTAACAAGTACATGAAACTTAATTAAATTTCTTTAGTAATATGCGTAAAGTTGACCAAGCACTCGCTTTATATTCAGCTAAATTCTCAACCAACTGGGGTACATGTGAAGAACTTCATATAAATTAAGTTTACGTAAACTAATCGAACACGTGACCGCATGGTTGTCATAGGGACGATAAGTGAGCGTGTGCGAGAACGGAGAGATGTGAAAGAGAAAGCGTTTATGTTTTGTCTTAAATTAAAATCAAAACCAAACAAAACTAGTGTTGAGTTTACAAAAATCATTACATGGCGCCCAACGTGCGGCTATAGTGGATCCCCCAGTGGAATAAATGGTGAGTTCAAACGAGTTTTTGCGAATTTAAAACGTATCGAGAACATGAGTACCGAGAATCGAACCGAGAATCGAACCGAGAATTGGGACAGATTACGTGCGACGAGACGAGGAAATAGAGCAGTCATAACGAGGTATTTGAATGAAGGTGTGGAGAAATTAAAAGATGGGGTAGTAGATAAGCAACGACTAAATATTCTTAACGGTCTTTTGAACGAAAAATTGCTTGTTGTGAAACAAATGGACGACAAAATATTCGAAATTTGTGACACGAAAGATATCGAACGCGAGATAGAGGAGTCAGAAGAAATATATTCACGTGTACTTGATGTAAGACAAGCTATATTGATGCAACAGGAGTCAATAACAGTGTCAGAAGCGGAAACAAATGAAGAGCATGTCAACAATCAAGAGAGTCCAACGGTAGAATCCAATGTCAATGAAGGAGAGAATGTACTAGAAACTGCTGCGAGCGTTGATCAACAAGCAGAGGACTCTGCTACAAGTGCTGAAGGTAGTAATGTCACAAACACACAAGTAAGTGCATCACAGAGCAAAACAAAGTTACCCAAGTTAGTTTTGGAGAAATTCAAGGGAGATCCGACAAAATGGTTCCCTTTTCGGGATTCGTTTAGAACTACCATACACGATAACCAAGCAATATCTGTTATCGATAAATTCAACTATCCCAACTCCCTATTAGAAGGCTCTGCAGCAAGATGTATAGAAGGGTTAGCATTAACTGAGTCAAACTATACAACTGCTGTGGATATATTAAAAAATCGATTTGGCAAAACCCAGCAGATCATTGCACGACACATGGATGAATTGTTACAGCTACCTGTTTGCACGAATGAGCGAGTTTCTTCACTTAGATATCTATATGACAAGTTAACAGTACATGTGAGAGGACTAGAATCAATTGGTGTTACAGCAGAACACTATGGGAGTTTACTTATCCCCATCATAATGAGCAAGCTACCGGCAGAAATTCGTCTTCAAACGGCAAGAAAAACAACAGATGAAGTGTGAAAAATAGAAGAAGTATTGCAAATCCTAAAAAAGGAGATCGAAGCAAGAGAAGTGTGCGACCGAAATCTTGTTCAAGCTAACAAACAACGAAATGATGGCAAATTTGGACATTCCAGTTCTGGTAATTCAAGTGCGAGATCCCTGTTTGCAGGCAATGTGAAAATCAAATGTGCCTTTTGTAAAAATAATCATTACTCTGCCTCTTGCAAAGAAATAACTGATGTGAATGCTCGAATGGAAATCTTGAAGAAGGAGAGACTATGCTTTAAATGTCTTAGAACAAATCATGTGGCACGAGAATGTCATCAACGTAGCTGTAGAAATTGCAACAAAGGACATCATCAATCCATTTGTCACAGTTTGCAAGGAATTTCTAATTGCAATGAACAAAATCAACAACAAAACAAGAATGTGGAAAACCAAACTATTAACACGGCCTCGATTAACGCAAAGAAAGGAACACCTACAATTCTTTTACAAACATCAAGATCCGTATAGCAACAAATGAGTCAAATTCTCGAAGAGTTCCGGTTAGAGTGCTTTTTGATAATGGAAGCCAACGATCTTACATTACCAGCAACCTGCGAGCAAAATTGAATCTAAAACCTTCTACTACTGAGACATTACATCTCAATATATTTGGAGAGACCAAATCGAAGAGCAAGAAATGCGACGTTTTCGAACTGAATTTATAGAAACTAAATTCAGGGGTAAATATTCCTATTAAAGCTCTAGAATTCCCAGTCATCTGTTCCGCGTTACCCTCAGCTGTTGATGTCAACTATCCTCATTTAATTGGCTTAGAATTGGCAGATAATTTGGCAGAAACAACAGATGCAATCGATGTGTTAATCGGATCGGATTATTATTGGCAAATTGTGCAAGGAGAAACGGTGAGAGGAACGGAGGGCCCGATCGCTATTAGCAGTCGATTGGGTTGGCTGTTATCAGGCCCCACCTTTGGATCAACTCGGCATTATCATGAGACTATGTCGAATCTTGTCGTTACACGACAAGATTTCAGTACATTTGCTGATAACACCGAAGATGAGCTTCTCAACACACTTAAATCATTCTGGTCAACAGAATCAATTGGAATCGAAGATCAACAAAATGCAGCAGAACCAATGCCAGAGCACTCCGAAAGGAGTATAAAGTTCAACGAATCGCGCTGCGAAGTGAATTTACCCTTGAATGGCAACGAAGCAAATTTGCCTACCAATTACCATTTATCGTTCAATTGTCTGAAGTCATTGCAACATCGTTTAGAGAAAGAACCGACACTAGCGAACGAGTACGACAAGATAATTCAAGAGCAATTAAACAAAAATGTAATAGAAAGAGTCCCCAACGAGGAAACAACTAGTCAGTCTGGAGTGCACTACCTACCACATCACCCAGTTATCCGTAAGGACCGAGAAACCACAAAGGTGCGAATTGTGTATAACGGGTCGGCCAAACAAGAGGACAGTGCATTATCATTAAATGATTGTTTGCACAAGGGACCAAACCTGATTCCAAAACTCTTGGATATTTTGGTCCGATTTCGATGGCATCAAGTAGCATTAACGGCAGATATTGAGAAAGCCTTTTTGATGATTGGCATTCCACAAGAGGATAGAAACCTACTTCGTTTTTTATGCTTAAAGGATCCGAACGATGCAAATACTGAAGTGGAACATTATCGATTTACCAGATTAGTATTTGGCTTGAAATCATCGCCAGCAGTTTTAGGAGCAGTATTCTCACACCATTTACAACAGCACAAAGAGAAACAACCTAAGGTGGTAGAATTGATTGAAGACAGTTTGTATGTCGACGATTTAGTGGCCTGAGAGGAAGATAAAGAGAATGCGTTTCACGTATACGATATCTCGAAGCAAGTCATGTCGATTGGTGGTTTCAACCTGAGAAAATGGCGAAGCAATTCAACACCCCCTTTAAAAAGCATCCAAGAATCAGAGACCAAATATGAAAGTTCGAGCACAAGTGAAACTCAGTTAGACACCGAAGTTTTACAAGAAGAAGATGTACCGTACGCGAAGTCTGTGACCGGCACGACAAATCAACAGCTTGACCAAAAGGCTACAAAGGTGTTGGGGGTTGACTGGAATTGTAAAACGGACACGTTACATAACTCAGTTGTCGAGGTCTTAGAGTATGCCAAGAATCTACCCTGTACCAAGAGATCCATTTTAAAAATCTCAGCGAAGTTATTCGATCCATTGGGACTACTCAGTCCGTACATCGTCAATTTAGAGATTTTGTTCCAGGAGCTTTGTATAGATTAGGTTGGTTGGGAAAACGAGTTAACCGATGGGGTTCGAGCAAAATGGGACACTCTACTATCTCAATTAGAATTACTTCAAGATTTACGGATACCACGATGCTATTTTTCGATAGACTTAAAGGTCTCGAAAGTTCAGCTGCATGCCTTTAGCGATGTCTCGGAAAAAGCGTATGCCGCGGTGGTGTACAGTCGCACAATCTACACTAACGGACAAATACATGTCGCCCTTGTTGCTTCGAAGACCAAGGTTTTGCCAATAAAAAAGCAAAGTATCCCTCGTCTCGAGCTTCTCGGAGCAGTCATTCTTGCCAGATTAAGCGACGTAGTAAACAAAGCTCTCCCGAAAATAGAAGATATAGTTTACTGGGTTGATTCTTCGACCGTATTGTATTGGATTCGGAATGAAAGATTGTGGAAAAAATATGTCAGTAATCGCCTGCAAGAAATTCGAACAACCACGATCAATGAATCATGGCGTCATTGTCCCGGAAAAGAAAATCCGGCGGATTTGCCATCCAGAGGAATTAGTGCACAAGAATTAAAACGAAGCAACGTGTGGTGGAACGGACCTTCCTTTCTTCATATTCCAGAGAATAAGTGGCCTGAGAATATCGTAGCCACAGAGTGTGAGCCAGAAGTTGCGCGCGAGTTACGCGATACGTCGACGGATGAAACTCATGTTTTAGCTTCTTCCTCAATCAAAGAATTCAACCAGGAAGCCCTTCACTTAAATGTACTTTTCTATATCAAGCGGTACGAATCGTTGATGAAGCTGCTCAAGATAACAGCGTATGTTATACGATTTATCCGCAACCTCAGGTCACATACGAACACTCGTTCCAAGAGCAGAGCGATTTTAAAAGCAATTTCAGCCGGGGAGATTACTGATGCCGAGATAAGGTAGATCAAAACAGTCCAAAGAGATAATTTCACAAACGAAATGTCACATTTACAAGACCCTCGAAAAGGTAAACCGGAAAGAGTTAAACAGTTCGGACTGTTTATCGACGAGAACGGTCTAATGAGATGTAAAGGACGAATCGGAAATTCTATTTTACCACTATCAAGTAAATCACCTATAATCTTACCTTATCAACACTGCGCGAAAGATTCTGGTTAATTAAAGGTCGCCAGGTAGTAAAGAGTATTCTACGTCAGTGTGTTGTATGCAAGAAAGTTGAAGGTCAGCCTTATACGACTGGATCTTCCCCGTATAAGAGATTCGGACGATCCACCATTCAGTCATACAGGCGTTGACTTCGCGGGACCCTTGTATGTCAAAGAAACTAACTCAGAAAATAAGACTTACATATGTCTATTCACGTGTGCATCTACAAGGGCAGTCCACCTCGAACTTACTCGAAGTTTAGACGTTGATGCATTTCTGTTAGCCTTTCGTAGATTTTCAAGTCGAAGAGGACTCCCGTCAAACCTAGTTTCAGATAACGCGAAAACGTTTAAAGCTGCCTTAAAAGAAGTTAAGAAAATCACGACGTCTCCAACCGTTCAAAGGTACCTTGCAAAAAATCTTGTGAGCTGGACGTTCATTGTAGAAAAAGCCTCCTGGTGGGGAGGATTTTGGGAGCGTCTGGTGAAGACCGTAAAACTCAGCCTCAGGAAAAGCCTGGGAAGAACAAGCCTGAATTTCGAAGAAATGAGAACCCTGCTAATTGAAGCGGTGGTGAATTCACGACCGTTAATGTACGTACATGACGATAGCGATGGCTTAAGTAATGCATTATCCCCATCTCTTTTATCTATGGAAGAAAGATATCCAACACACCAAATACAGAAAATTTTGACGTAGTAAGCACGTATATTTCTCTGACAAAAAGGGCGAAACACCACCGAAATCTGTTGGAACAGTTCACGAAAGTTTGGAGAAGAGAATATTTGCTTAATTTGAAAGAGAAACCAGAAGTTTGGACCCCTTATTAACATTGGAGATGTGGTTATTTTAAGAAGCGATATGACGAGCCATCGTTCAGGAGCTATTAGCTGGAGATGACGGAGAAGCTCGAGCTGCAGTGGTTCGTGTTGCGAATTCTGAGAAAAGGCCTCAATTATTGAGACGCAGCATCAATCATCTAATACCCCTTGAAGTGAGAAACACCGACGAGAAGAACGAAACCAAATCCGAAGAACTCGCAACTAAGGAACCGGTGACAAAGAGTCGTAGAAGAGCAGCGGTATAAGGCGAACGATTACGCCGTCTTCAGAAATAAACATAACTTGAAAACAGAAATGAACATAAGCTCATTAGGTAAATTCAAATTAACAATTTAAAGTTAACTTTATGTTTGATCGAGTATTTTATATCGAATCAAACGCGGGGAGTGTTAAGAACTTCATATAAATTAAGTTTAAGTAAACTAATCGAACACGTGACCGCATGGTTGTCATAGAGACGAGAAGTGAGCGTGTGCGAGAACGGAGAGATGTGAAAGAGAAAGCGTTTATGTTTTGTCTTAAATTAAAATCAAAAACCAAACAAAACCAGGGTTGGTAGATTTTATGAATAAATTAGCCAAATATATTGACATAACATTTGTTTTCTTTGTTTAAAACAAAGGAATCAAAGGGCCGCCAATAACAATGTTTGGCTTATTTATCCAGTAACTTACCAACCCTGAACAAAACTAGTGTTGAGTTTACGAAAATCATTACAGTATACAACCCGGTATAAAGTTATCTAAAAAATATAATCAAATTATAACTAAATATTATAAATCACGCAAGTATGTGTCGTTGTTATTCTTGCACAGAAAAAATACCGCAGATCAACTTACTGAAGCCAATGGTACGTTAATGAAAAAAGACAATTTTTTGGAGTTTTCTGATACTTCTTTGAAAGGTTTGTTGCAATGTTAAACTAAATTAAATGAAGTCGTGTCGAATCACCACAATAATGGTGACCATTCACTCGACGCACTTCGACGTTTTTTTTTATATTCCTGAGCATGCAATGCGTACGCATGCACCAATTCAAACCCCAAGATTTGAAACTTCACCCATTTTTTACTCACGGATACACCGTAGAAGCTAACGAGCTAACGCTCTCGCATTCTTTAGTGCGATTAACTCGACCAACCTGCTTTGCGCGCCTAGTATTAAAAACTTTTTTATCTGGTTAGTCTACTAGTCAACAATTAATCGGCCATTCACCTGCATCCGTGAGTCGTCTCATTGAAACCTTTGATTTTTAATTTTATAAGCAAGCTTAGGTCAGCGTGGCTTAATTGAAAATAATTGCTTCGTTCGAAATGACGATGGATTCTGCATTAAGTATATTAATTTTCTTGCTAATTTGCCATTTTTGCCTCATCTCTAAGCAAATCTTTCCACATTAATTGTGGACCGACAGTTGAACAATTATGTAATATGTAGAAATATTGGGTTCTTAAATCTCGTTGAGGTAAACTATCAAAGACGCATAATTGTGCAAACATTTATCCTATTTAGATGGAAGCAAGCCAAGCCTTGTTGAAAAAAACTTTAGCCTCAGCGATGAAGTTACTACCGTAAAACATCGCGAGAAAATTATGTTGCTGAAAGCTAAGAATTGCAATGAATTACGAGAGGTAATTATTATTCCTAAAAATCAACGGGGGTTTCGTCATAAGCGAACTATTTCATGTCATTCTTAAAACGAAAGAGCGTTCTTACCAAACGATTGTGCGCCCGCTGAATAGGATAGGGCTGAGCTAGGGCTCCCCAGACAGAGTCTATATGTGTATGTAGATGAGTTTTCCACATCAGACAATATTTCACAGCATTGCCAACGATGCAGACCATCTTCGAACTTTATCTTTTCGAGGCTTACCCACCCTATATAAAAGCCGGCACAACTGGGGGTAGAGCATATACAAATGCTATTCCCGACTGTTTTTTTTCGTTCCTATATGATATGTAAACATGGTATATAAGTTATTAAACACCGCCCCCCCCCAAAAAAAAAAAAAATTAGTCGGTCTAGTTACGGGCCCTGCTTGCTATGAAGAGCAGACCTTAACTCTCTTTCGAACGAATCTAATAAAACAGGGCATGATATGCAATACTTTGACCTTCAGCGAAATACAACTGATAATGTTGTTCTGTACAGCTGATACTCATGTTCAATTAAAGTAATGTAAGCAAATTAGTTCCAGCAGGTACCAATGAGCTTTAAGTCGCCAGAAAATCAGACTTTAAAGATGAAACGAGAAAATAAGCAATGTTTTAACCTTCCGCTAGCTTACGCCTGCACCAAATTGTCTGAAACGTTAATATCTTATAAAACATATTCTATAGCAAAGGCCAGTCAGGTTTTCACTTATCCATTTTTGTGCGGAAGCCGTTTTTTAATTGACTGCTAAGAACGCTTTTTTAACTTTTTGTACAGGAGGTGTTCATTCGGGTTTTTTCCTAATCTTATATACAATTTGTCTTCTCTTGAAATAGACAAAAATACCTCTGAAATCTTTCTCGACGGACGAAGCACTAAAGATTGCAGACGGATCGCCGGGCACGCGCGTTTATGTTGGTCTGATGGAAAACGGGCGGGAAATTGCCGTTAAAAGAATTTTAAAAGAAACAACTGATCGCTTAGCCCAAACCGAATTGGAGATCTTCCGTCTAACTAGGGATATTAGATCCCCATACATTGTAAACTACTGGAACTTTGACTGCGATGAGTTTTTCATGTACCTGGTGATCGACCTGTGTGAGGAAAATTTGAATGACTATGTTGCTAAGACTTGTTCTCTTGAGTACTTACAGAAACATGGTGTCCGAATGATAGAGGAAATATTACTCGGGCTGCAAGTTCTTCACGACAGAGGAATCCTGCATAGAGATCTTAAGCCATCAAATATTCTTGTTAGCGTTGATGGCCGTATGCAGTTGTCAGATTTTGGGATCAGTCGTGTGCTTAATGATGACGAATCAACATTTCTAACCGCACCGAAAGGAACCGTTGGTTGGATTCCACCTGAAGTAATTGAGCAAATAGATAAAGAAGATAGCAAGGGACCCTATAAAAGAAAATCTGATGTGCACGTTGCCGGAATGATTGCATTCTTTATTTTGACCAAAGGTGAACACCCGTTTGGCCTTCGACTAGAACGTATGGTAAATATTTCGAAAGGAGAACCTATTTTCTTGAATAAAGTTACGGCACCAACTGCTCAGAAGTTTATTTCCCAGCTGATAAGTCATAATATTGATCACAGGCCGTATGTTAAGGATGCCTTGAAACATTGTTTTTTTAAAGAGCAAAGTCAATTAATTGTGCATGATAATTGAATAATTTATAGGGAATAAGTAGAATTTAGAGAGCTAGATGTATGCTGAAGTAATTCATATACCAGGAGAGAAGTAAATCATATGAGAGGAGAAAATTACGTTGATGCTCTAAACTCTCTTGGTATTCCATCCATAAAAGTCCACCACGAATATGGACAGAGTAGCGATAATTACGATGGCTTAGATACCTGGTTGCTGTGAACTCATTAACTTCAAGCAATAGAATTCATAAATTACTACCAGGTATATTGGTCAGACGTCACATGTGTTGATCTTTCATCGGATGTGTTCAGAGAACGAGCTCAGCTATGTCTACTAAAAAAAGTTTAACTATAGAAGCAATTATAGAACTATGGCTGCATCGATTCTTACCAAGTATAAGGAATTTCTGAAATAAGATCTAACGTAAACGTTTTAACAAATAAATGTAAGGATATTGAAACCACACAACAGTATTTGTCAAATGAATTTGATAATTTTAAAAAAATACTGCGTGATAACAAGCGGCTAACTGCAGATCCCTCGAAGAAGATAAACAATTTTGAAAGAGGGAGAGGTTTATTAATAATCTATCTTTAGATTAAAAAATACAATGGATTCAGGGCCGTAACTAGAACGATAATTGGGGGGGGGGGTGTTTATTCATATATTCAGTTCTGCCCGACGGATTTCTTTTGTAAGTGAAATAACTCACAATGGAAATCCGTCGGCAGAACTGAATATATGAATAAACACCCCCCCCCGCCATATATCGTTCTAGTTACGGCCCTGAATGGATTTACATTTAAAGTATTCACAAATTGTACAGTATTTTTACATCGATAAACAGTGAATGAACATCCTCTAGGGATAAATGATCTTTTATGCCTATTAGTCTTCGATATTATTTTGTTAAAACTAGATTTGCTTCAAAGATTGTAATTATGAGTTTTTAAACTAGGTAAAAATACTCTGCATGGTGGTTGCAATCTGATTGGATTTTTTCGAGTTCTTTCTTAGTTGCTTCGGTTCTTCTTTCTCTTAGCGTGGGGAGGTAGTTCGATAGGCCAATAATCTTCATACTTCTGGTCATACTTCGGTAGGCCAATAATCTTCATACTTCTGGTCTGTATTTGTTCAATTTCATTTTCTAAGTAATGGGAGGCCACCCTATACTGTGGATGCGTATTCCAGTATAGGCCTTATTTTTGAAATATATGTAGCGAGCCCAATTTCTACTGGGAGATTGGATCTGTGACATACTCGTAGATGGAAAAGCTTTTCACGGGCCTTACGGCAAATATTATGAACATTAATGTTCCATTTGAGATCATTTTGTTGCCATACCCCAGAAGATTAAACGATTGGACTCTTTCAATTGTTTCCATTCCACAACGAATATTAGGTGGTTCAGGGATCTTATTTGAAAAGCATATCCAGATATCTTTAGTTTTCTTTGGATTTAGCTCCATTTTGTTGTTGTTCGCCCATTTTGTTATTTTATCAATCACTTCCTGCATATTGCCTGATTCGAGTTGAAAGTTACACATTCACATTGCGTGCAGTCGTTGGCATACTCATTCGTATACTGAGGAATATATGTCCAGGTACAGCATCTTCTAGGTCGTTTATAATCACATTGAACAGAACAGGTGAGATCACTGATCACTGTGGCACCCCCGCAGGGCATGGTAAGGATTGATAGGATATTTTGCATTTTGACCTGTTGTGTCATTTGTGACAGAAAACTCTTGATCCAAATCCGGAAACTCTTGTTGATGTTGTGTTTTGCAAGTTTTATTAGTAATATCTTATGCCGTCAACCATATCGAAAGCTTTCTTCAAAACGATGAATAGTGTATGTACACCTTTCTGTTCGCTTGTTTTATTGTTTCCAGTTGCATTGAACCCATTTTGAGTGATGTTAATAAGAGCTGAGACTGCAGAGCGATTAGCTCTGAAAGCATGTTTGCTGTTATTTAATTAGAGATCGTTTGTATCCATAGTTTTAGTTGCAGTCTCTCGAGAACCTTGCCCAGGTGTGGTAAGACAGAAGATATCTGTCGAAAATCGTTTTATATTTCCCCGGGCAGATTGACTTTAGGTACAGGACTTATGAAGGCATGTTTGTACGCTTTGGGATTTTCGCATTGTATCATTCTATCTCTGAATTTATCGTGAACCGCCACTACCAATGATTCAGGGATTCCGTCTAATCCGGTTGCTGTCTTAAGGCGCTGTTACACGGTGCAATTTTTCCAGCAACTTGCAATGCAATTCTTCTTTTGAGAGATGTAAATTTGGCAACTACCAAACTTTCGTCTTTATTACACTCCATGACGTTTCTCACTCACATTTTGAAGGCTCTTCACTAATTTACATCTCTTAAAAGTAGAATTCCGTTGCAAAGTGCAAGCGCGCCGTGTAACATGGCCTTATTTAAATGTGTGTGAGCACTTTTGACTTGGCCGATACTTGGTATTGGTGGGTTTTGGTCTTTCAAAAAATTTTCCACATCTCGGACATCGCAGCTAGACGTAGAGTTAAGGTCTTTCCAAAGAGCTGTAAAGGCTTCGTGTAACTTCTCCGACAGTTCTTGAAGTTTTTCCACATCGAGAGCTGATGAGGTTGGTTGAAAGAATGGAGAAGGCAGAAGAATCTAACTATGCTCTCAACGTTGCACTGGACAATCTGGAACAAGATGGACGCAAAGACTTTACTTAAATATCTGGAATTCCGACGTTACCTATCGATAATGCAAAGCAATTAACAGTTGAACTTCGAAATTTAATGGGTGTTGAGATCACTGAAGATGATACTGATTTAAACAGCCCATCGACTATCCTCGACAAGAAAGTAAAAGAGAGATTCACTGCCAAATTTGTGCATCGCGACAAGAAAGACGAGCTCTTATTCTGAAAAGAAATCGAACGACCTGCTATCCATGGCTAATGAGTTTGGCAAAAGCAATCACAGAGCAGGAAGGTATATTCGAAAGTGAGTCTCTTACTCCTTATAGAAAAAAATATTTGGCCATATGAACAAGTTTAAAAGGTATAATCAATGAAAATATACGTGGACAGTCAATGGGAACATTTAATACATAAAATATGAGCCATGTGTTATTATGCCAGACAAAACACTTCATAAATCGTTCTATAACCTATAACGTGATGCAATATCTGCCATTTTATGATCCTAATGAATAATGAATTCAATTCTTTGAACGGTATTTGGATGAGGAATTTAGATCTGGTAACAGATTTCTTTGATATATTACCGAATCCTAATAAATTTGACTATTACTTTTGTGTGAGGACGTTGGAACTGTTTTGAGTTGACGCTGGAACTCTTTTGTAAGGACGCTGGAACTCTTTTGTGTGGACGCTGGAAATATTTCGTGTAGACGCTGGACTCTTGTGTGGACCTTTGTGTGGACTTTGGAACGCTTTTGTGTTCTTGCTGGAATTCTTTTGTGAGTGCGTTGGAACTCTTTCGTGTTGACGCTGGAACTCTTTCGTGTTGACGCTGGAACTCTTTCGTGTTGACGCTGGAACTCTTTTGTGTTGACGCTGGAACTCTTTCGTGTTGACGCTGGAACTCTTTCGTGTAACTGTTCACATTGGAACTCTTTTGTGAGGATTCTGAAACCCTTTTGTGTTGATCCTCGAACTCTTTTGTGTACACGCTGGAACTCTTTTGTGATGACGCTGAAAGTCTTTTGCGATGACGCTGAAGCTCTTTTCTGATGACGCTGGAACTCTTTTTTGTTGACGCTGGAACTCTTTTTTGTTGACGCTAGAACTCTTTTGTGATGACGCTGGAACTCTTTTTTGTTGACGCTAGAACTCTTTTGTGATGACGCTGGAACTCCTTTTTGTTGACGCTGGAACTCTTTTGTGATGACGCTGGAACTCTTTTTTGTTGACGCTGGAACTCTTTTTTGTTGACGCTAGAACTCTTTTCTGATGACGCTAGAACTCTTTTGTGATGACGCTGGAACTCATTTTTTGTTGACGCTGGAACTCTTTTGTGATGACGCTGGAACTCTTTTGTGATGACGCTGGAACTCTTTTGTGATGACGCTGGAACTCTTTTGTGTGGACGCTGGAACTCTTTTGTGATGTCGCTGGAACTCTTTTGTGATGACGCTGGAACTCTTTTTTGTTGACGCTGGAACTCTTTTTTGTTGACGCTGGAACTCTTTTGTGATGACGCTGGAACTCTTTTGTGATGACGCTGGAACTCTTTTGTGTTGACGATGCAACTCTTTTGTGTTGACGCTGGAACTCTTTTTTGTTGACGCTGGAACTCTTTTGTGATGACGCTGGAACTCTTTTCTGATGACGCTGGAACTCTTTTGTGATGACGCTGGAACTCTTTTGTGTGGACGCTGGAACTCTTTTGTGTGGACGCTGGAACTCTTTTGTGTGGACGTTGGAACTCTTTTGTGATGACGCTGAAAGTCTTTTGCGATGACGCTGGAACTCTTTTCTGAAGACGCTGGAACTCATTTGTACGAAAATAGATATCTCATTTATTGACAACTCAACCATTGATGACACATGCCTAAATGGAAGCAAACTTCATCTAAATGCGAAAGGAGATCTAGATCATCTTCATGAGAAACTTCATCTAAATCACTTCCTGCATATTGCTATTCGAGTTGAAAGTTACACATTCACATTGCGTGCAATCGTTGGCATACTCATTTGTATACTGAGGGAAATATGTCCAGGTACAGCATCTTCTAGGTCGTTTATAATAACATTGAACAGAACAGGCGAGATCACTGATCACTGTGGCACCCCCGCATGACATGGTAAGGATTGATAGGATATTTTGCATTTTGACCTGTTGTGTCATTTGTGACAGAAAACTCTTGATCCAAAGTGCCGGAAACTCTTGTTAATATTGTGTTTTGCAAGTTTTATTAGTAATATCTTATGCCGTCAACCATATCGAAAGCTTTCTTCAAAACGATGAATAGTGTATGTACACCTTTCTGTTCGCTTGTTTTATTGTTTCCAGTTGCATTGAACCCATTTTGAGTGATGTTAATAAGAGCTGAGACTGCAGAGCGATTAGCTCTGAAAGCATGTTTGCTGTTATTTAATTAGAGATCGTTTGTATGTATAGTTTTAGTTGCAGTCTCTCGAGAACCTTGCCCAGGTGTGGTAGGACAGAAGATATCTGTCGAAAATCGTTTTATATTTCCCCGGGCGGATTGACTTTAGGGCTAGGATTCATGAAGGCATGTTTGTACGCTTTGGGATTTCCGTATTCTATCATGCTACAATCCTGGCCAAGACCATTGACTACACTCAAAATGATTTGTAGTTTTTTTATGCAAAACATCAACATTTCTGTCTCGATTTCTCCCCTCGCCCCCCTAACCAATGTTGAATCTATGCCAAATGCTTGAATGAGTTCTGACACATCACCCAACATTGATTTTTGGGGGAAAGAGGGAGAATTTTGAAATATATTCCGTGACTACTGACTGTAGTGTCAATTAAAACAGAGTGCCGTCAATGTTTTGACCAGGATTGTAGCTCTGAATATATCGTGAACCGCCACAGCCAATTATTCAGGGATTCCGTCTG